CGGCCCGTAAACATGATTACGTCATTGATATGGATTTTGGAAATCGGAACTATTTTTTAAAAATAAAACAGCGGCTTTTGCATTTAATCAGAGAATATATACTATAGACTATAGTCTCTCCTATATGATTTAATATTGCCACCAATGACAATGATTGAATGAGAAAGTGAAGCCGGAAGTGTCCATTTCGTGCGATTTTTCTCTTTACTCACATTTTCGATTTGTTTCCCAACAACAGGCTTGTTGAAACTTGTTGTGACAGGACAAAAATTGTTTGTTGTGGACAGGTTTGTCGCAGGTCTGATAACAAGCTTGCTGCAGACTTGAAAAAACAACTCGCGACAGGGTCTGTTGGAACAAGTTGTAACAAACCTGTTGATTTCAACAGACTTGCCGCAAGTTGTCCTGTCAGACCGTATCTCTTGTTAGTAACAGGTTTGTACCGGGTTGTTTCAACAAGTCGCTACGGCTCTGTTGTCAACAGCTTGCGACAGATCTGTTCCCGCAAACCTGTTACCGCCTGACGAAACCAACAGACCTGTCGCGACTTGTTGACAACTTGCCGCAAGCCGGTAAAATCAACAGCTTGCGACAGGCCTGTGAGATTTCTGGCTGTGTATTTAAAAAAGTAAGTTTAACCCACAATTGCTACTCTTCACGTTACCATGACAACATGACGTCACCATCTATATGGCCTATATTAACCAAAAAAGCCGTCTTAGCGGACAAATAAGCACGGTGACCTACCATTTTTTATTGCAGAAAATACATTGTTATGACGTTTTGAATCCTTTTTGAAAGTTATTTGAAAATCGCCAGTGTAGTTTTCGAGAAACTAAATTCCAGCCTTTAAGACTGTATTTTAGCTTCTACTAGAAAGACTCAAATTCAGTTTCTCGAAAACTACACTGTCTTGTGGTTGAAAAAGGCCATATAGATGGTGACGTCATGTTGTCATTGTAACGCGAAGAGTAGCGATTGTGGGTTAAAATAACTCTTTTATATAAGATGAAACAATGGCTTGTGTAAAAAAATCGTTATTTTTAAATTCAAATTAATTAATTAAATAGGTTTTAGTTTAAAGGGGCCCTACAGTCATTTTTTTGTCAAAAAGTCATCTTAATTAAGTATTGTTTACACTTTTTTGTTATTGTCGTTACTTGACATGCGCACCACGGCATGCATGCGTCTTCCGGTGTGCGGAAGTACTCATACTCATGGATACTGCATGTAAGATACAGCCAAACGAATCTCCGTGGAGTCCCTTACTTAAGGTGGCTTTTCGAGTGAAAAATGACTGTAGGGCCCCTTTAAAACACTGACATATATTGGAAACTGTAGGGAGCCTCCTTTAAGAACATTTTAAAACTTGTGGTTGAATTTTTATCATTTATAGACGCGGAGCGAGGGGGATTCGGCGGAATATTACCTGAAGTAATGATATTTTCCGAGGGGCTTTGCCCCGAGGAAAATATCATCACTGAGGGTAATATTTCGACGAATCCCCCGAGCGGAGGGTCTATAAATGATATATTATACCGAAAGTTAAAGAACCCACCCAGTTCTGAATAAACTTTAAAACTTGAAGCGAATACAATTTTTAATTTCTTATGTATACCCGAGTTTTTGACGTTTTCTCTTTAAAATATTTGAGCAGGTATCCTTTGGATCGTTGAAGGTAACATACGTCTCGAAAATCTTTGGTTTAATAACTTAAATCAATAAATCTTCTGTATGAAATTACAAACAACAACTCGCGAACGCCATATTGTTTCAGAGCGTGGTGTCCACGCGTCACGCGTGAGATACAATAATATATTATAATATTATATCTCAAATTCAAATTGTCCAATGAAAAAACATCATTTGTACCACGTGACAATGTGACTTTTTACGGTATTTCACTCAAATTCATGATTTCGCAATCCAGCGTGAGATACTATAATATCCCACGGCAGATCCACCGTGGGATATTATAGTATACCACGGTCACGCGTGACGCGTAGACACTACGCTCTGAAACAATATGGCGTTCGGGAGCTGTTGTTTTTGACTTTTTGTTTGTAATTTCGTACGGAAGATATATTGACTTAAGTTAATCAAACATTTTCAAGACGTATGTTACCTTCAACGATCCAAAGGATACTTGTTCAAATATTTTAAAGAGAAAGCGTCAAAAACTCAGGTATACATACGAAATTAAAAATTGTATTCGCTTCAAGTTTTAAAGTTTATTCTGAACTTGGTGGGTTCTTTAATTAACTTTCGGTATAATATATCATTTATAGACCCTCCGCTCGGGGGATTCGGCGATATTTCCCTCAGTGATGATATTTTCCTTGGGGCAAAGCCCCTCGGAAAATATCAGCACTTCGGGAAATATTACGCCGAATCTCCCGAGCGGAGGGTCTATAAATGATATATCTCACGCTGCATTGCGAAATCATGAATTTGAGTGAAATACCGTAAAAATCACATTATCACGTGGTACAAATGATGTTTTTTCATTGGACAATTTGAATTTGAGGTATAATATTACATTAAATTGAACATATAATTACTTATTTTTCACCCTGCTCGGTTTCCTTTGTTCTTATCGGGGAATATATTCAATATAATATTCCCCTCTAATCAATTTCCGTTTAATAATCCCCTCTAATATTCACCTGCAATTAATAATCCCCTCTAATATTCACCTGCAATGTCTCCGCAGCACAAAAAATGAGAAAAAAAAACAACATAACGAAGGCAATATGGCATTAAGAATTATTTCTATTCTGACTCATTAACGCGACCTCGCAGTGTGAAAAATAAGTATGTTATTTTGAGGCACCTCGGGGATATGTGTTTATTCACCTCGGCGCTACGTGCCTCGGTGAATAAATCACATATCCCCTCGTTGCCTCAAAATAACCTATACATACCTAGCATATAAATGTTTGGGAAATTGATCATTTTGTAATTAAAAGTGATATTTTGGAGGAATTTTTCAATTTTAAAACTATTCCCAAAATTAGTGTGTTACCATGAGAACTACTTTCAATACTTCATGTTCAAAAAACATAATGGTTTTGTCAGTAAGGCGAGCCGGCGAGGGTTTCTGCATGCATGTATTTTCTAGTTATATCATGTAATTTCGAAATCTACTCAGTTTAGAATTGCCCAAACTACTTTTTCTTTCCCACGCTATTGTCTTACTACAACTACTTTTTTGTTCAGGAACCTGTCTTGCAGACGTCTTTTCGGTATTCTCTGTTGCAAATTTATCCGTGTCTTCTATAAAATAATAAAACAAATTACAAAGCAGCACAACACAGCACGACAAAACACAACACAACACAACACAACACAACACAACACAACACAACACAACACAACACAACACAACACAAAGCATGGACTGTCAACATGGACGACACGCATGTATAATATTCAGTGGTTTATTATGTCGGTGCATGGTTCTTCAATGAAATATAGAACGGCAGTCTAAAATGCAGTCTAAACAGCTTCACATTCGAGATCTCAAGAAAGAAAGGCTGTTCTCCAACAGCGCGACATTTGTACATGTGCATGACCTTTCAAAAAGTCGCGTGTTTAGTATCATCCTTATCCTTACCATTATCATTATTGCTCGTGCTCCAGGGGAGCTCGAGTCTAGGTTTCGTCCTGTTAAATCTTTGTAGGTTGCGTTTTGGACTTCCTTGACCCAGCAATGCATTGCGCACTTGTAATCGTGATTTCGCAATATGGCCACTGCGAAGAGTGGCGAAATGTAATTATCAATATTATAAATGTGGTCCGACAATACAAGCCATCACTTTACAAACAATGCGCATGATGCAAAATATATATATATATATATATATATATATAAATATATATATATATATATATATATATATATATATATATATATATATATATATATATATATATATATATATATATATATATATATATATATATGCACAGAAGACATTACTACACCGCAACATTGCTTGGTGCAATATGTTACACGTTTGTTCCATCTGACCGGCGCGTTGCATATAGTATCATCCCAGGGTAACCACACAGCCTTAATTAGCTCCCTCAAGTAATTCTAACCCTTATAGAGCAAGAATGTACGCCTGAGCCGGCGTCTTATATTTTGTTACTTCACACGGTTTTATGTAAATCCGGTGTTCGTCAGCAACAACTGCCTACAGCCACTAGGCGAAGGTGTTACTGGGATGTCTAGCTTTCCAATACTCTTTTAAGTTTTCAACTGTTCCGAGCGTCGTTTTTTGTACTTGCTCTAGTTTTACAGATATACCAATTCGTTTGATTTATTTTCAAATTTCTTACTTACAGCGCCTAACGCTCAAACTACCACTAGGATTACTTCTATATTTTTCATTGATACTACTTGTCTATGATATCGATTATTAAACACGTCCACTCTTCTCTCTTAACTACTACCATATCCACAGGGGGCCCATCCCGGGTCTTATTGAAGTCATGTATTAGAATTACGTATGAAATATATAGCTCAGTGTTGAAGTCTGCGATTTGCGGGCAGTGTGCGGACTAACACGCGTATTGAATACACAATAAAGAAAATAATAAAGGGATGAAACATCGACGAGTGCCTGGAAGCCCAGAATTCAAAGCACTGCGAAGAGTGTTGTGTATGTTTGAAGCTATTCACTGTAAATGCTCTTATGATTTATACAAGTGCAATAATTTAAATATATTACGTTATGATGTTTTATTCATATTACGTTTAATTAATATGATGTTTTATTCATATTCATATTCATATTCATAACACGGCTCTTAGTTGGACCCCCTGTGTGTATAGGTGTTCAAGGACATGCTTTTCAGATGAATAAATCATCGAATGTGTAAATATTATTTATCGTGCGTTGTGTTGACAAGAACAGCATTAAATTAAATGTTAATTTGATAGGCCGATTTAATGTAATTTTAAGCATTTTCAAAATTGCTTCTTCGAAATGAAACTGTAGTATTTCATTCAATATTGCTCAAATACCTTCAAGTCATATATCAAAATTTAAGTTAGGCCTTTCTGAATTCAGTGAAGTCTATTTGATTGAAACTCCTTGTCCAATTTTAACGGTATAACAAATCAAACACCGATACTTTTTTGAGACACCCGGTATTATAATTGATTTTACTACTCCCTGCGGTTCATGCCCAACCCCTTTTTCGCCCTATCCAACTCTTACTTTCTGCATAATAACCCGTGCATGTATAATCCTTGCCATGTTATCACGCCGTCTTTTTAATATTCTCGTTGGGCGAGTTTCTTGCACTCACATGTCCCACACATTCGCCTCTTTTCATATATATATATATATATACAACGTGCATAACGGTGGATCTACAGACCTATCGATATTGAACTTGGTGTAGTTGGTTCGTTGTGCCTATTCTTGTGCTGCATATATCAAGGCTTCTGTTTCTGGTTTTAACTCTATTTTTTAAGCTACGTTTACACGCTACGATTAATCGTGTACGATTCGTATTCGCCAGTATTAAAATGAGTGCTGGTGCCATAATTCATTGCCGATTCGTTAAAAAGAAATTTCAAAAGTAGGCAGCTTACGCGTGTTTACTCAATGACATGCATATACGCCAGAAAACGAATCGTACACGATTAATCGCAGCGTGTAAACGTAGCTTTAGCCAACTCCACATTTTATCCTTATCTATATCTTCATTTTTTCCCTGATAAACTGTCCATACTCAATAGCATTCTCTTTTCCATCCATCTTTGTTCTCTTTCTTCTTCTTATACTTTTCCGTTGGCATACAATTGTCGGTCTTGATGACTTCCCCTTCTCTTACTTCAACCAACAATGGTTCTACTGCGTTCTTGATCGATATACCACCCGACACTGTTCTCTTCCGATCTGAAACATGTTTTGCAGCTTGTCAACCCTCGCTGCTGTTTATCAGGAAATTATGGAAACTTCAAGCTGGTTGTCATTGTGTGTCGTTACACAAACCACATAATATAATCTCATCTGAAGTATTGGAGGGAAACGTAGAAGGAAACGTAGTGGTCGTCCAAAGGAATTATATAGCAATATCAGAACTGTAGTTTCTCAGCATTTTACAAATCGAAAATCAACAATTATGAACATGAACAACTAAGACAAAGGCCATCCCCACTCAAGCGATCACTCTTTGTTCCCTCATTGTTGCTGTCAAATACGATGTGGCTTGCGCCAAAACATATCATGACATACTTTACAGGACCAACATCGCTCTTTTTTAGTGAAACGTGGCTGAAAGACCTTGTCCCAAACGAAGCTATATATTAATTACCGTTTATCAATTATTTAGGGGGGACCGCAAACGTAGAAACCACGTGTTCGTTCGTTGGTTCGTTCGTTGGTTCGTTCGTTGGTTCGTTCGTTCGTTCGTTGGTTCGTTCGTTCGTTCGTTCGTTCGTTCGTTCGTTCGTTCGTTCGTTCGTTCGTTCGTTCGTTCGTTCGTTCGTTCGTTCGTTCGTTCGTTCGTTCGTTCGTTCGTTCGTTCGTTCGTTCGTTCGTTCGTTCGTTCGTTCGTTCGTTCGTTCGGTTTGAATGTTATCATGCCAGAACGATCAATTAGAGTTCAGACATCCGATCGACCCAAGATGAACAGCAAGCTAAAATAAATACGAATTAAAGGTAAACCGCGAACGCAAACGATGTTGAAAAATCTACTATTGGAATAAGGTCAACGATCTGTGCGACACAAAATCGGGGGATTCGAGGTGGGAAGTTAAGCAGCATTGTGGCACCGCCAAAACGAACAAACGTGACCTAAGGTCTAACGAAGCCTTTGTAAATGAAGCCTTTGTAAATGTAATGGAAAACTATTCAGAGAGGTTAGTACATCATGCGCTGCATGGTGACCCAGATGAGATCCCCAACTGGACCCTGAAGGAATATCTTGGCTTTTCCAATTGCCAACATCTTGAACACCTCTTTTCGTGATTGACTGTTATCGCGGAAGGAGCACGTAAATTATCTGTCCAAAAAAGTATTCAAAGGCCTAGGAATGTTAAGACGTATTCGTGATCTAGTGCCAATTAACATGCTAGTTGACATATACTCGTCTATCATTCTCCCGCATTTTGATTACTGTAGTTCTGTGTGGGATAATTGCAGAAAAGGTTTACGCGATACACTTAAAAAATTACAGAATCGAGCAGCTCGAATAATTCCTAGGAGCAACTATGAAACACGCTCTACCCAAATTTTCAATAACTTAAACTGGCCGACACAAGACGATAGGCGAATGAAGGAAATATCTTGTCTAATGTTCAAAGTATTCCACAAATTAGGCCCATCTTATCTTTTACGGCCATTTATTGAGCAAATTTAAATTGAAAAATAGTCTTGAATAATGGAACAGTGGTATGGAATTTAATACCAATTGAAATTAGAGATTCCACTTCTTCACAAATTTGCCAAAATAAACTGTAGTGCAGAAATAATTTGTATATAGCTTCAATTTGTCCTTTTCCTTGTAATATTGTAAATAATTCAAATGTCACGGCGGCTGGGAAGATCATCTCAATTTAGATAACAGACCTCCATGCTTAAATAAAATTCACTGTCACTAAAGTATGTTTGGAAGCTTGCTGATATTTCCTCTATACCCATAGGATCCACCGTCCATGATATCGATTTTAATAAAGATTTGAGGCCAATTTCTTCGACATCTGCATTATCAAAAGTGGCAGAGAACATAGTGATTGAAAAAGAGTTGAAACGAATCTTGCTAAGATGTATTAACTCATCCCAATTTGACTTTATCCCAGATTCGTCAATCACACTTGCCCTTATATCCATGTTCCACCATTGGTTGAGCTCAACGTATGGCACTGGCTCTTCTGTTAAATGTCTTCCTGGTTTTGCCCGCAAGGCGAGGGTGCACGCATGCATGTATTTCTAGTTTCTAAGTATTCATGTTACCAACTGATCTGTGATGCTACCATGCCAGTAGATGCACGTGCGCCACAGTGTACCTTTTTTTGAAAATTTTCTTCGTAACAGAGTTTTGTCCTAAGATATTTTTTTGTGGAAAAATTCAGTGAATCGAACGAAAGACGGAAGGAAAAATAGGACGAAAAATTGGTATATTAAGGTAGATCCCATACAGGCTCCGACACATTTAAATGTCTGGGTGCGAAGTCGGGATTTAGCCGCACGTCTCGTGACTTTGTACGCCATTGTATACGAAAAAATACAGCACATGACAGTACATACATTACACTTAGATATTCCACTACTTTTTTGCAAATCTGTCTTACTCTTCCCGGTTACTTTAAGAATTGGAACAATATACTTACCGGCGACGTGAGCCTCACAGTTTTCAATCATCTTTTTCTTCTTTGGATGGGGTGCCCAATGCATTGACATGTGATTAGACTGGTCTGTCTTGAGCCACACATCAAATGAAATATCCAGCCCTGAACGCCTCCAAGAATCATACTGCTGTCGCTTCTTTTTATCACACAAGATTTCTTTTGCTTTAGTCAATCTAAGTGGCCATGACATTTATTTCATTTGGCGTGTTATAACGTGTTACTCATGTTCATTAAAAATTAACGAGTACCTCCATGTGTAGAAAGAATTAAAGGCCATGTAAAGTCCGTAATGTAAACAAGCGCTTTGTTTACATTTTGAACTCAGTGTTACAGTTGTAAAATATGATTAGATATATACTATACTGAATTTTCAACACTCTTTCGGTTCGCTATGCTTGTAAATGATAAATACAGACTAGAGATTCAATTCAAAGTTCGGAAGGTGCGAAATATTAACAACATTCCAATGGAATGTACGCCTGTGCAGAACGGACTTTACATGGTCTTTAAAATAAAGTTCTGATGTTAAATTAGAAATGGAAATTACACTACAAAAGATAACAAGTTGATTTGTCTAAACTCTAAAAACAAAAAATTGAAAATCGATATATTTTCCCTTTGTCTAAAATTTTTCAGTCATTTATTACTGGTTAAAAATGGTGAAAAACTAAAAAATACACTAGGGCAGATACAGATACAGCTACAAATGACAGCATGCTGGCACACAAAAATTTATGAACTATCACTAAATTCAGTGGGCAAATGGAACAAGGGCCTAATACAAGAGCTTAATGAATGGTACATCCCCGAATAAGGTTATTGCTCATTGATATGTGCAGACAAAAGTTCATATCAAATTTTGATATGAACTTCTAAATAAATTAACTTGTCAATTAATTAAAGCAGTGGCTTAGCCAGCAAAACAGAAGTGGGGGGACAATACAGATAATCATTACTCATTTAAATATTTACCATCATTTACTCATTACTTATGTACTCATTACTTATGTACTCATTACTTATGTACTGTACGAGCAGGAGTGTTTTATTAGGTTTAAAGACACGAGCGCGCAGCGCGAGTGGCTTTAGACCTAATAAAACACGTCCTGCGAGTTTATTAAACGGCTTCAAACACGACTATACAAATTCAATAAAAATACTGCTTTATTAGTATTCTTTATATAAAGAATACTAATTAGGAGTATTCTATCAGGTTTAAAGCCACTGCACGTGATATATTATGGTTGACATGGTTTGCCAATTAGCTTATGAATTATTAATGAGTGTTTGAATGTCATTTAATATTTAAGAAATAGAAAACGAGTCGCGTGCGTTTATGGTATGATACAGAGTGTTTTACACGCTTCCCGAGTATTCCCCCAACATTCCCCGAGTGCACTATCGCACTATAAACGCACGAGAATAAGTAGAAGATATTACATAGTAAACAATTTTACTCAAAAGATCGACGTTGAAATTATCCTAACATGTATACTCAGTGACGTCACGGGTATGCTTTTACCATAGGAAGCCCAAAACTGCTTGTAAAATGCACCAAAAGTCAAATTATATTAAGCTCGGCCTCTGGCTCGACCCATTCCTCGGTCATTTGTCGTGCGCCGCAAGCACTCAATGAAAAGCATTGTTCACATATATACATTATGCTTGCGTTTTACCGAAGTCGTATATTCGTCAGTTGAGATATAGCTGCCAACAGGTGGGCAATTTGTCTGAGCATGCGTAAAGAAAATCAATATGGCGACATATATTAGGAGTGTTTCGTGAATTTATCTGGTTTTAAAACTGATAAAATAACATTTTAATGAACGAAAACTTTGTAATATTTAGTGGAAAACATTGAGCTATGCATTCCAAAGGTTTTACAGTAAAAATAAGTACTTTTGCTTTATTTTATTGCTTTTTATGCTTTGAAAACAGGCAAGCTCATTTTTTGGCAAAAATCTAATCTATTATTTTACCCATCATTTGTTTAATCTGAACAGAAATAGATAGAACACTTGGCTATATAAGTTACAAAGGTATTGTTAGCTGATCTGAACGATTTCAGTATTCCTGGTACACATTTTAACAAAGAATGATGTGTAATTTCAAAAATTAAATATGCATATCAAAAACAATACTTTTTATTAGAACAACACATAATGACATAAGGTTTATAGGAAACCAACACATACAGACAGGTATCTGCATTATAATTCATTTCATCATCCTAGTATTAAAAACTCTGTGTGCAAGACACTCATCAACCGAGCGAAAACAATTTGTGAGGTAAGTAACATTGACGATGAATTAGAACATTTAAGAAATGTTCTAAAAATGAATGGTTACCCACGGCATTTCATAAATAATGCTATGAAAACGCCACAAAGTATACAACAGAAGATTGAATTTCAGTCGTCTGTTTGTCTACCATATATTGGTCCGGCTTCACACAAATAAGCAGGTATAAAGGTATACCATTCCAGCGAAAACAAATTGTTTCGAGCTCTTTCCACACATAAGGACAACGTAAACGAATCTCGGAAACCTGGTGTGTACCGCATTCCTTGTGAATGTGGTCTGGTTTACATTGGTGAAACTGGTCGAAATCTCTCAGTACGTCTTAAGGAACACAAGACGAATTGCGAGAAAGCCGAGCAAGATAAATCTGCTGTGGCTAAACATACTTGGACTTACGACCATCGTATAAAATGGGACGAAGCAACCATTTTGGCGATTGATAGTCATAAGTTCTCTCGCAAAATGAGAGAGTCAATTGAAATCGAGAAGCACAATACTATAGATCAGGAGGGAAAGCCACTAGATAGTACGTGGCGTGCTCTCTTTATTAATGTGCAAAATTAATTCTATTAGTGAGCTTAAGCAAGTGACGTTTTTGACAACACGGACGTCGACCGGAAGTAAAGTTGACGTTTTTCACCAATCACAGCCCTTGACCCAGTCTTCTGACGTTACTCATGCCGTCCGTGTTGTCAAAAACGTCACTTGCTTAAGCTCACTATTGTCTTGGATGCATCACTTCACTACGTTTGAAATGACGTGGTTGATGTACCGTTTAATTAAATTTCAAATGACGCGAGCCAACAGATCACGACACTCTTGTATATAAAAAGAGCGTGTGAATTAAACAAGTCACATATTAAGTTCTTAGCTATATTATTAGCACTGATGAAGATCCGGGCTTACGGATCGAAAGCTTTGCAGTAATAAATTTACGTGGTGTTTCCACAAACAAAAACAATTAAGTCACATATTATTAGCACTGATGAAGATCCGGGCTTACGGATCGAAAGCTTTGCAGTAATAAATTTACGTGGTGTTTCCACAAACAAAAACAATTATATTTTATCGCCATGCAAACATTCAAAGAACTTAACACATAATAAGTTATTATTTTCTATTTTAACAAAAACAAGTTTGGAAACAGGATTTAGTCCTCCAGCTTGATGTCATATTCCATTTATTTGGATATTTCAACAAAGGAATGTGAAATAATAATTTAATCTTGTGCAAAATTTGATACCAACACACATGTGAACAGATACTATCACCTAAAAATAAAAGAAAACAGAACTTAAATTTATCATATAATGCTATGAAAAAATCTAAGATACTACAGGCATACAGTGAGCACAATTCTTCAACAAACTCACTAAAATAAGTTAAGTTGTGCTATGATAAGAGGATGGCAATACATAACAATATCAAATGTCACCATCTTCAGTGTCCAAAAAAAGTGCCGCGCGCATTTTTCGTGGTCGCATAACTGGTATTGCCACAAACCCATGTGAAAAAGCAATTAGAAAAACCTGGTTTTGGGTGATGAGCATAGTCAAATTCTTGACTTATTCAATCTTTTTCCAGGTAAACAGATTAAACATTGAAATAAGCCCCATTCGGGACCTCATAAAATCCAACTATTGTGTATGGACCAGATTTTTTTCAATTTTCCGTGATTTACATAACACTAGTTATAATTTAAGGGTCAACCAGTATTGTTCAAGACATATTTTCCTTCCAGAACACCTTTTCAAAATACTAACCCAAACATGTCAAAAATAGTGTATATTTACAAGGGCAATTTCAACCCTTTGGCACATTTTTCCCATGAATGATTTTAATTCTAATAAAAAGACTATAGATAAAACTTTGATTTAAAGCTAGTTTCAAGTGATGAGCATACCCTAATTTTTAAGCTATACCTCAAAGAAGATGGGTCATTTCAACATAAACATTGAAATATGGGTATATTGACAGCTCTGTTACACGTGTCGTTTGGCATTAGCAGACCTTCTGAAACATTTTAATGAAAGTATAATGCACAAAGTTCACATTTTCACTTACTTCTTAACATCTGTTTTAATCCAACTAGCTCCGTAGGCACGAGCAAAATTTAGTGTTGATGTAAATATCCATTTAGTTCATGTTTCCCCGGTGAAAATATAGTCTATTCCAAAGCTGATTTCGACGTACTTTAGCTTTTCAGAAACCGTAATTGGCCTTCCTCAGTGAGATTATCAACTGTTTCACAAACATATTTGATAGTAAACAGCTAAAATATTCTCCGAAAGTCTATATTTTTGCTCTTCGACGCGAAAATGGCAACTCAAGAAGAAATGAGCCGTTATTTTTGGTCAGCGTCGACAAATTGTCCACCTGCTGCCAACCTTAGGCGAGAGTTTTTTTATTCATTGGTTTACGGATCCGCCAAGGGAGCACGCCTGAACTATTTGTGTAAATTTATACCAACCTTTTAATTACATCTAAATGTTTTCATCGGGCGCCATTTTGAATGTTGAAAGCGGTGTCACACTGATACGAACATCCCCGTGGCTTTAGTATCCCCACACTAATATCCCTAGGGATAAAAGTACCCCGGGTGAGGATACCTACAACACTAGAAGCGAAAGGATGCAATATTCAAAATATGAACAGGAGGAAAGTCATTTATCTGTGCCTTTACGTTTTTACAGTAATGCTGCAGTAAATGTGTATAATGTGATTGTGCTTATGTTGTAAGATAGCATGTTCGCGTCGCATAAATTGGTGTAGAACATAGTGTAGAATTAATTTTTACAGCTAGTCAATAGTCATTTAGAAGTTGTGACAATATTGCTTAATCACATATAAAAAGCTTATACTGTATAACCGTGCTGGGATGCCTGTGGTATAACACAAAAAGGAACAATATCCGTATGTTTATTGACATAGCGCAATATAG